GATATTGTTTCAGCAACATGTCCCCCATTACTCCTCCCTTACTCAACACCTATAGGAAGGCACAGCCCCTGGTCACTGAATAGAGTGAGATAGAAAAAGATTCATCAAAGGGAAATCTGAGTGCTATTAGGAAAGGGTAAATAGATGCTGGACAGCCAATATAACATAAATGTCCATAAGTACTTGGTAAATAAAATTTTGAAAGGGCCTGAAGCAAATTCAAATAATAATGTTTTGCTTCAGAACCACAATCTGGTTTCAAGTCTTAGACTCCTAAAGCTAGGAAACAGCTTGGGATCTGATATTTTCAACTTCTGATTACTGCTCATGTTGGATTGGAAAATGCAGGTTCCTAGGGGTCATGTGGTGTCTAACAACAACTATTTATTTATTGTTTACTATATGTCAGACACTGTGACAAGTACATTGCAGACATATCATTCATTTAATCTTCCTGATATCAATATGGTGTATATATATTATTGCCTCATTTTACAGATGAGCTGAGGTGCAGACTATTTAAAAAGCTTGCATAAGGAAGGAATATAGAAGAAGGCCAAAAAGTGGCATAATCCTAAGTATAGCAGAAGTAGAATGAGAACTAAACAGAAGTAAGAATTTAAACTAAAGTATCCTCTCACATCAATTTTAATTTTTATTGACCCTGTGATCTTATTCAGACAGATATGGCACTGATACCACAATAGGCATAGGTAGGAGGATGAAGACATGTCAGGAATTTAGCAGTACTAGTTGGTGAAGAAAGGGATGACGTTAACGCCAAGCATAACCAAGCATGACCGAGACTAAAGAAACAATCAGAGAGGCTGATGCCCACAAGGTAGGCCCTTGTTCACTGTCCACAGAGTACATGAAATTCAGACATGGCATAGACAAGCTGTGGCACCAGTGCAGTCCTATTCAGCAGAAGGATATAGTAATGTAGTAAGCTTAGTCAGTGGGTGATGTTTGAAGAAGTTCAGTAGCTTGAGGGTAATGTATCGTAACAGTATCCTGCCCAATGAACTAGGATCTAGTCAGAACTGGGACTAGTGAAAAATTTTCCAAACCAAGCTTAAACTTTCAGATTAGATGGGAGCTTAGGAATTGATATAGTTTCAATTATGAAAGAAAAGCAAAGGAGAAGTCCAGTGCTATAGACTGGGAAAATATCAGGGATATAGGGGAGTGGCACAGCTTGAAGTCTACCTGTAATCCAGCACTCTTACTTGGCATTCTACATCTTCAGAGGGCTGCATGGTTCTTATGCGTGGGAGCTGTTGAGACATTTAGTCTTGCTCAGATTTCGTTCATGATCTGGGAAGGACTCTTGAGGTAGAAATATGAAGATATAACCACGGGGAGCAAAAGAAGACAAGAAGAGGGAAAATGGAACAGGGACTAATTATTATGACCATCTCCAAACTTTAGATTCATATATTACTCAGAATTCAAGCTGTTCTTGAAACCATTACAAGAAAATCACAGCTTTAGCTAACTCTTTTCCATTTATCACGAAACAACATTCTTTGGATAGCCAAACTTACTTAAAAACTGCCAGAATTCAGGTCTGCTAATGGATAAAAACAAAAATTAAATTGCCTAGCTAGAGATTTAGTCACTCTTTTTGGCAAGACACTTTTACATTTTTATGCTGTTTTAGCTTTTCCCTATGGAGCGTTTTCTGTATGGAAGTTCTCTCTTAAGAATGTATTCTCTTCTCCACGAGATTTTAACATGGTCTAAAAGTTGTCTTCTCTTATTAATATCCTGTCTAGCCTTTACCTTTAATTTATAGATGATATACTCTCTGCATGGAAAATACTCCTTTGAGGAGTGCTATGAACTGAATTTTGTCTCTCCAAAGTTCATATGTTGAATCCCTAACCCCGAATGTGATGGAATTTGGAGATGGGGCCTTTGGCAGGTAATTAGGTTTAGATGAGGTCATGAAGGCGGGGCCTTCTATAGGATTAACATGAGGAAGGGAGAGAGATCACCCTCTTTCTCCATGCCCACACATCGAGGAAAGGCCATGTGAGGACGCAGGGAGAAGGTGCCAATCCGAAAGTCAGGAAGAAAGATTTCGCCAGACTTTGACCATGCTGATGTCCTGACCTCAGACTTTCAGCTTCCAGAACTGTGAGAAAATGAATTTGTATTGCTTAAGTTACTCAGTCTGCAATACTTTGTTATGGCAACCCGAGCTAAGACAAGGAATCCTGAAAATGTGATTTTATTAAACATTTCTGAAGATCAATATTATAACATGCAATAAAGTCTCTCAGAAAAGTTTTGTGATTCTTGTACATTTATTTTGCCACCTACCAAATACTTCAAACCATCCTTCTAAGGATGGTATAAAACAGTGTCTTGACTCTTTCGAGCTGTACTCATGTAACAGTCTGAAATAAAGGTTGCTAAGCAATAGCTTCCCCAAAACCTGCTATAGCTGCTTTCTCCCAGAATCCTTCTTGTTCCTCCCCTTGACTGTAGGCTTGATGGGGGAAGAAATTATTCTCCTCGTCGCAGTAAAATATGTTGCTCTGCTCCCAGCCCCTGGCTATTGTTATAGTTCTCCATTTTGCATCCTTCCCTGTTCTACTTCATTGTTTACTTCTTAATTACATCTTTCTTCCAAGTACTTTTCCTTTAAAATAATGTTAAAAAATAAAGAATTAAGTATAATTTGGTGATGCCTCAGGCCTTATTCTGGCAACCAGTTAATCACCATGCCAGGTTTACCATTACAGTTAAGCAAAATATTGGAAAGAAGAAAATGAATGTTTCATCAGTTTTTATTTTGAAAAGTCTTAGTAAATATCTTAATCTCATAATTTCCTGCTTAAAACCATAATCAAACTGTTTCGTTTCCATCTTTCTTCCACTTTAAATTTTACTGCTTACAAAGGAGAAAAAATGGCCAGCTTTACATTCCACAAACTACATACCATTCTCTCTCACCAAGCATCTGTAGGACATGTAGACAAAGCTTTTGTCAAAAGAGAATTTGATAAACGCAAGTTTCCAATGTACTATAAAATTGTGACAACAGCATCACATGAATTTATGCTATAATCATAATGAAAAATATTAATAGAATATAAATACCTGAAGAGTGGTAATGCCAGGAAATGTGAGGTGACACAATAAATAAACTGTATTTGATTTGTAATATAGCAGAGTGAAAAGTATAATCTGGCTGCTTAGGCTGGAACATCATGCTATAAGATAAAGAGTTTTGCTTGCAATGCCTGTGGTTTGGCTTTTCCTTCATTAATATAAGCTGTTTTCACATTGCCAATTTTTCATATATATATAATTTTTTTTTTTTTTTTTTTTTTTTTTTTTTAGACTGAGTCTCACTCTGTCGCCCAGGCTAGAGTGCAGTGGCGCTATCTCCACTTATTGCAACCTCCGCCTCCCAGGTTCAAATGGTTCTCCTGCCTCAAGTCTCCTGAGAGTAGCTGGGATTAGAGGTGCACGCTACCACACCTGGTTAATTTTTGTATTTTTAGTAGAGATGGGGTTTTGCCACATTGGCCAGGCTGGTCTCTAACTCCTGACTTCAGGTGATCCACCCACCTCGGCCTCCCAAAGCAATTTGTTTTATAAGTTAATAGAATGACCTGAAAATTTCGTTGCCTCCTATCTGGGTTACTTGTCTTTTTTTTTTTTTTTTTTTTTGAGAAAAGGTCCTACTATGTGGCCCAGGCTGGCCTTAGACTCCTGGGATCAAGGGATCCTACTGCCTCAAGTCTCCCAAGTTGCTGGGACTATAGGCATTCACCACTACACCAGGCTTTGCCAATTTTAATCTATAGGAGTTTATGGGCCAAATTTTAACCAAATTCTTCACTGCAGTGTTAAAAATGTAAACACTTATTCCCATCCATTTCTAATATAATTTAATAAATACCAGTCAAGTGAAACAGCAGGAGGGGAGAAGGAACAAAGAAATCTGTAACTGGCTGTGATCAATTCGTTTTAAATACCACTGTACTTACTTAGACCAGCTCATTTTTAATTTAAAAATGTGATTTGATCATATATTTATATACTTGACTTTCTCAACCATTTATGAAAACTTAGAAGGGTGGGTGTTCTTTATCAAAACTGAGTTTTTTGAGGTAGAGAGAATAAAATGGTTTGTTGGGAGTTGAGGACAATATTTAGTTTCCTGTGTTGCAGAAACTTCTGCTGAGTGAGATGTCAACTTTGTTTCTTGTCTAGCAGGGGGTCCTGGGAGAGATCAGAAATTCTGGGATATGTCATCTGCTTAGGCAAGTCATTCACAATTCTGAGCATGCATACATCTTAGCTGCTTTTGAGTCTCCTACAGAACGACGGTGTGGTAAGTATGGAGCAGAGCTCTTAACACTACCCTTCTAAGACTGGTGATGCTAGTCACTTCTTAACTTCCAGTTTGGAGAACAAAGTGAGAAGGGAGGTTTTTTTTTCTGTTTGTTTTGTTTTGTTTTGTTTTGTTTTTTTTAAAGGCACTGTTGGCCGGGCGCGGTGGCTCACGCCTGTAATTCCAGCACTTTGGGAGGCCAAGGCGGGCGGATCACGAGGTCAGGAGAACGAAACCATCCTGGCTAACACGGTGAAATCCCGTCTCTACTAAAAATGCAAAACATTAGCCAGGCCTGGCGGCGGGCGCCTGTAGTCCCAGCTACTTGGGAGGCTGAGGCAGGAGAATGGCATGAACCCGGGAGGCGGAGCTTGCAGTGAGTCGAGATCGCGCCCTGCACTCCTGGGCGACTAAGCGAGAGACTCCGTCTCAAAAAAAAAAAAAAAAAAAAAAAAAAGGCACTGTTGTATTACAAACCAAAATCAAAAACAGATTTCCATACTAACTACTCCTCCAAAGGTAACGCATTAGCTATACCATTAATCTGGCAAAGTAGGGAGGAAAATGAAGGAGTGCATTTGTTTCATTAGAGGCATTTCGTTTTGAGAGGTGGACAGGAGAGCTATATACAAGACTCAAGTTTCTTGATACAGTAAGTACATCAAGAATATAAACGTGTTTGATAAAATGAACATTTTAAAAACATGGCACCAGGCTATGATTCTTCTTCCTGCACACCTTCATGCCTAACTTTTTGAAAGGACTTGAGACATATAAATCACAATTTTAAAAAATTATAGTTTCCATGCCTTCGTGGTGGATCAATTTCCGTAGAAGTCTACCAAAATGACTTATTTTCATCCCTGGGAACCAACTGCAAGAGAGAAAATGAAAGGAATATCATATTCTTTCTATGTAGGCAGAGTGGACTTGAGTGCGGGTCAGAAACACTGATTTCAGTTTGTGCACTACAACTTGATGACTTGGGTGATGTTTGGCTTCTCAGAACTTTGGGAGATGAATTTGAAAAACAGATAATACCACACTATATAATTCAGAGGATTACCTCAGCTTACAAACAGCAAATGAGACGCAAATGTGAGACATAATTCATATTTCTAAGCAGTTGGAGCCCTGATATAGCACTGGGGTTATAGAGAAGTTGGGGAAAATGTCAACCCAGTGATGTCATACTCCTAGGCCAGGCCCTAAGATTTTTTGGAACCTGGCGGGCTGAGCACAATAGGGAAAGCCTCAGCACCCTGACTTGGCACAATGGCACCCTTAAGGCTCTTTGCTCACTCAATTCTTAGTAGCTCTCCTAAAGCACAGGGGTGTTTTCTTCCAGTTCTCTGCGTAGACTTTGCTATGCCTCTCCGCCCACTGCCTCATCCAGAGAAACACTCGTATCCACCACCGCTCCTCACTTTCCCTCACGCACGGCTCTAGAAAGACGAGGAGAAGGCGCGGCGTAGGCTTTATATACTTTGCCAGCCAATGACCGCGCCGTCTCCTTTCCGGTCGGCGATCCGACCAATCCAAGAAGGCTGGTGCAATCTTCGGCTCTACTCGGCTCTTTTCGCTGATGCGGGCAGCTTGGGGGCCGCGGCAGCTAGAGAGACGCTTTCCTTTTTAATTTTTTTTCCATGTGTTCACTTCCGGGTCCGGCGTCGATCCGGATGCCCGAGGCAGAAGGATGTTTGACCTCCGGATAAGCGAGGCGCCGCTGTGCATTCATTCCCAGCTGCATCGGTGGCGACAGCAGAGGCTCGGGCGGCGACTCTCCGGCCAGCGGCGGCGGTAGGAGACACCAGCGGCAGTGCAAGGACCGAATCCGAGCAGCGCTGCGTTACCTCGCTCGCTCCTTCCCCCCTACCTCGCTCGCTCGCTCCCTGCGTGCTCGCTTTCCTCCTCCGGCCGCCGGCGGGTGTGATGTGCCGCCGTCGCTGCCCCCGCCGGCGCTGACTGACTGACTGGGGGCGCCGCCCGCGCCCGGGACCGACCCCGCTGCTCGCGGCCGCGCCTCTGAGGTAAAGCCCCCTGCGCGTTGGTGCTCGGCCGCCAGCCCCGGCCCGGTGGCTGCCTCGGCGCGGCCGCGGCGTCCTCCCTCCCGGATGGGGCTGGGGTCTCGGGCGGGGTGGGGTGGGGTGCGGCGGGGGCGGCGCCGCCGGCGCGGGTGTCGGGGGAGGGGTGGGCGAAGACCCGGGCGGGCGGCCAGGAGGCGTGGGCCGGAGGGGGCCGCGGTCGGAGGCTGAGGGCGCGGAGGGCTAGGGGGCAGCGGGGGCCGCGGGTGGCGGGCCGGGCTGGGTGCAAAAGTTGCCGGAGTGGTGCGGCGCGACTGGGACGGCGAGGGAGGTGGGCCAGCTGGCCCGGCGGGGGCTTCCTTAGAAGAGATTGGGAGGTGGGGAGTGTCGCCCACGGTGCTCCTTGACTGTGTCCCGACAATTCCCTTTGGAGTAGGGGCTTTGGGCAGGAAGGAGGCATGTATCGGCTGGGAGGAGGCGACAGGGGCCAGCGTTCAGTTCAGGGATAAACTTCCCGTTGGAGTGTTTAAGGGGTTGGGTGGGGGGACACAGGGATTTACCTGTTTCTTAGAGCTTTGACTCAGCTCAAAACTTAACTAAGACATTAGTCAAAGGTTAACATAATTACTCGGATGGTTACTCTCATGGTGCCGGTTTGTTTGTTTATCCCACAAGCAGGGGAAGTGACTCTGAGAGGCGTCGGGTCTCTTGGTCCATAGCCTCCACATTTCTTTTCAGCAGGACGAGGAGGGAGATGTGTGTCTATTCGTGGGGTGGGGGTAGTTAGGCCTGTGTCATGGTCATTCCCCTTCTCCCACCTCATGTTTCAGGGAGGAAAAGTTCAGATGGGGGAGAGAGAGAGTGTGCCTGTGTGTGTGGGAGACAGCTACTGTTGATACACTGTGTGAATTACTTTTAACTCTTTTGTGGTAATCACCCAGGCTGCTCAGTGGCCCCTTTTAAATCTTCTGCTAAAATATCTACTTTAAATTAGAGGATTATATAAGTACTTATTTTTAATGAATTAAGAAAGTAAGTCATTATTTTAACTTTTGTAATTCTTCCGATTCAAATGACATTTGCCCACAGATATAAGAGATAGCAAACTATATCTAAGATGGGATATAAAATTAAAACTGTATACATTTTAAAGATGTTTCTTTTTAAAGATGTTTCTTCGAGGAGTATTGGCTTTCCCCATACATTTAGAAGAAAAACATTACAGGAATTGTGAGAATAATGTGGAATTAGAAAGATGTGAAACTAGAAATCATTTTTCGTCAAAAAAATCAGATCTGGTGTGTGACATTCTTAATAGCTTTCTTTTTTTTTTTTTTGAGATGTACTTAGTGTATTTTGTAATTATTTACAAACTTTGCTCCAGTTGTATCTTAAGATAAAATTATTTTATTTTGTATAGTTAACCTTTATAGTTGCACAGAAGATAAAAGATAAAAATTACATTTATGGGCATTGGAAGAAAGATGTTATCAAATACATTGTATGGCTTTGAGATACATTCTTAGCAGAATGTACAGACACTTCTGCTTTATGTGAACTTGCATTTCTGAATATGTATTAAGTAGAAGTAATTATTAGAATGGGGGACAGAAAGGTTAATTTTAATGTTATGAATGACATTTTTTGGGGGATCTTGAGAAACGATTATCTTTACTGATGATTTATTGTAGTCATCCACCCCTTCTGCCATTCATCAGCTTAAACATTAGTGTATTACGTAATTATTGACATTTTCATCATTAGATTTTGCAAGCATTTACAATATATTGACAAAATCTTCTGTACGTGAAAGGCATTTATTACTTCCTTGAAAATAAAGGACTGGGATTAGTGGAATCAAGGAATTAATTCAACCAGGACCACCTTTACTGTGTGGCAAGGATGGAACAGTGGGTAGAATATGAAGATGAATGAGACTCAGTACTGCCTTCAAGGGAGAAGCAGACATACACAGAGGTAATTCACAGATTCCTGTGGGTTTTGTTGGAGGTGTATTGGACGCATGGGGTGTGTGTGAGACACTAATTTTTGACTGGGAAATTTTGAATGAATGTAGAGCTGGTAACACTCCATCTGGGCCTTAACATAGTTTAATAGGCAAAATGGGGGCGGAGGGAGTGACGGTGGGGGTAGTTTCCTGGGTGAAGGGAACAGCCTGAGCAAAGGCATGTGATTGTGTTACAGGGCTTGTTGAACTGGACATAAGGCTGTTTTGCCAGGAGGTCTTTGTGGGAGAAGCTATGAAAGTAGCTGGAGATCAGGCCATGGAAGTCCAACTTGTATTTAAAGATGAGTCAGTTGGAGGCATGAAGGTCCAAATGTACGGAACCTGTGCTACAGTAGATAGGCAAATAAGGATAGTAAGTTTAAGGAAACAAGTTATAACAAAATAGTCAATTTTCTATCATTGGCACTACTGAAGGAAAGCAGAAAAGTATATAATCCAAAACAATCTATACATAGTTTCGTTATATTTATTTATTTGCATTTTAATATGAGTGTGTATGGTAATCTAGTAATTGGTTATACATGAAATCAATCCAGACTGTAAAAATGTGACTCAAGAAGAGAAGCTCTCCAGTTACTTCTCTGTGTCTCCTCTGATCCATCCTGTAATCCCTCTATGCTGGGAGTAGACTTATTCTGGTATAGTTTATTGGTTCAGATGTTTTTCAGAATGGAAGAAGTGGTGGTTTTGTTCCAAAGGGCTTCCCAAAAGGATGTATCAAACTAAATAGAAGGAATGCTGAAGTATTAAATAACAAAATATAGGTCATTGAATAGTTACATTATTGTTAATAGTGAGATTTACTGTGGATGAAGTGAAATGTAAAGAGTGTATGTTTTCACAGAAAGTGGTTTTAATGAAGTAATAATAAAGGAATCTGTACGTGAAGAAAATTGACAGTAACAGAGGGATGATAATATGAGACACTTTCACAGTTCCGGATAAATGTGTGTGAAGTTTTTAAGTCATCTTAAATATTAGATGACCCTAAAATAATGTAACCCCACACTTAATCATTATCAAAGGAGTGCTTAGAAAAAAAAATCAGTTTATAAGTGCATGTAGAATCATGTTACAGGGAAAATTGAAGGTTTTTTTCCTCCTAAATATTTCCCTCTTAGCTTCCTTAATTATTCCCCTCTTAGTATTCAAAAAGGACTTATAACTGAATTTGTGTTCCCTTCAACCTCCCAGTAACAACAATACCTCCTATAATTTATTAAGTGCATACTTTGATAAAGGCCATAAATGATACTATTAAGACAACTCTATGAGTTAGGTGGTGTAACCTCATTTTTGAAAGCAGGAAACAGTCTTCTGGAGTTTAAATGATGTGTTGAAGATATATCTTGGAAGTAGCAGAGTGAATGTTTGAATCAGTTTTTTTTTTTTCTGACTTCAAAGTCTTAATCCACCAGTGATCTATTTTTTCTTATTTTCCGTCTTCATCCTTTTTCTGATCTTTTCTCAAGCAGTTGGCAATTAGTGGTATTAATTGATAGTATGTGTCTGAGTGTTGGTTCTTTATGATGTAATTTCTTCAGAAGTGGCAGTTTTGAGGTATCTGTCTTTAATTGTGGGATTCTGTAGGTGCAGACAGTATGGTTCCGGTAATTTAAGGTACCTCAGAGCATCACCTTTTGCTGATCTGCAGGACAGAACTATGCTTGGATTCTTAATGTATAGAAATCAAGTGTGCATTCTCAATTAATGTGAAATGATTTTCAGGAGCATCTGAACTGCTCAGGAAATATGGAAGGAGAGATAAATGTAGAAATGTATAATTTTTAGCGACATAGTGGAGGCTGCTGTTAGACATTTTTTGTTTCTTTTTTTTAAGCTCTCTCTGAAAGCTGAGATTTAGCAACTATAAATGTTTGGGCTTCCCTTTGAAACCTAAGGAAAATATGTATTGATTTGTTCTTAGACCATAGTGATTGGTTATACTCTCTCCTGCCACTTAGTGCTTATCATCTTAGTTATAAGAAATCATTTTTAACAATGAATTGAAGTATTGGGGAGATAAGACATACTTTTTTGGTTGCTTTGTTTACTAATGATATGTTACATAGTTATAATTTATTGAAAATTTATGAGTATGTCCACATGGCTAAATCATGTCCACATTTTTCATAACTTTTCAACGGAATGAGATAAGATCTGATGATACTCTTTTTCTTAAATGCAAAGTTTAATGTTTTTTTCTCTAGGGTAGTAATGTGAGGTTGAAGTTGTATTCAAATTTATTACATTTATTTAGATCACTTTGTGTTACCTGGAAGTACTTTCTTTAGCTGATAGCTACATTTGGAAAAAAAGGGAAGAGAGTTACCCTGTTACTCCGCCATTGTGTTCTTCATCAAAATGGAGGAAATTCATATAAAGTGCCAAGGACTATGTGATGCCTGCCACATAGTAGGCACTGTGTAAATCTTCTGTCCTTCATTTCAGAAGTTGCTGATAAGAATTTTAGAGGGTGGATTGGTGGGTAGATAAGCAAAGACTCTCAGGAACACCCTGTTACAGGAAAATGTCTCTTACCTGACCTCTGCTTAAGCCACTCGTGAGATTAAATGATAGTTTTCATTCTCTCTGTAGAATTTGCTGACTGATGCTTATGCTACATTGAGTGTAGCCTATTCTTTAGTTTGATCTTGGACTTTTATTCCCCCCAATTACTGTATACTTACCAAGAGACATGTGTGTTTGTACCCAACACACTGTTATGGCACTTGATGATGTAATCGCATAGTTTAATGAATTATTATTCAGTGAACTCCAAAGATAAAAAGGTGTTTGTATGAGAACCAGTTGGCTGCTTTGAAATCAAGTGAGTAGCCAAAATCAATTATGGTTGAAATAGATCAGGGTGAAATAATTTTAAATGATCAGGGAAAAAAACCCCCTAATAATCTAAAAAAATCTGCAATAATATTAGTTTTCACATGTTTGTAAAATGTCTTTCTGTGTTTAAGAA